AGAATTTTTACAATTTGAGATGGTTACAGTTACCATCTTTGATTGTAACAGTTATAATTTATAATAATTACAATTATTATTTTTGATAGTAATCGTTACCACTATTAATAGTAACTAGTACAATTGTCAATGATACCACCTATTATTTTGTTACTAATTAATTTTATTACCATTTTAGATAGTAGGAGTTACTATTTTTGTATAGTAGGTAGTATAATTAATTTTTCTCCGTGTATAAGTTTGTTTCGTAAACTTATCCATAAAATTAAAATTAATTAATTCAATCATGGCATCATTGTTATTTTTATTTAATTAAAAAGTACCAAAATTATAATATAGATTGTGTTTAAAAATACCGAAAAATCATTAAGCCAAAATTTTTTTGATTTATACTTCGTATTTCTTAGCAGTCACATAGTGATTGCAAATTGCTAGCTTAGTCTTATTGAACATTAAATATTAGTACGTACAACATGACGTATTAATACAAGTTGATTATATTGATTTATGTAGTATAAAGTATGGATGTCTCGACATAATCCAGGAAAAGAGTACTTATGAAATTTTATAAAATTGTACTGAAAAAAATTTCTTTATTATTTTATTTTAAAATTTCAAGGATCGTGAAATAGTAAAATAGATTTTTAAGTGTTTGGACACTTTCCCCAGGAATTCTCGCGTTTAAAAAGATAAAAATCATAATTGTCAGCAATCTGATCCGGCATTAACACCAAAAGAGTTCTGGTACAAGATACAAGATAAAAACATAATAATAAGCTTTGTAATCGCATATCGTAGATTCTTAAATAATTGTTGTCATAATTCATAACAATAACGCTTACCTGCGGACACATTTTACACTGATACTTTCTGGGTGGATGAGGACCCCCTAGATGAGGATTAAGATGCGACGGATGTGAGGGTTTAACTGTCAAGGGTTGTGGCACAACTAGAAGACTCGCTGGAGGACTTCCGCTGCTGCTTCCACCGGCGCGGTATTGCTCGTCTCCTAAAATGTTTAAAATCATTAACTGTAGTCATTAATCACTGATCATTAAAACAAAATTGAAGTAATTACCAACGAAACCAACGGTCGAATGCCGAATGACTTTCTCCGTAGCATAATTGTTGGCTTTCGTTGTAGTTATTTTTTAATATTAATATTAATACACGGTTAACATTAAGTAGATTAATAGATCAATTGATTGATTATTATTTATATTTTTAGATTATGAAAAATGCTTATGGTAATTATGAGATCTACTTATGTTCTCATGTATAATATCCATAAATATATGTGTAAATATGTGAATAAGTGAGAAGACATGTGTGAAGAAACTGACACTTGAGAGTTGAGATATTAATGATAGTCAGCATAATGTTAAATCATGGATGTCCTTGCTACCCGCAAGGATCCTTGCCCTTTGCACGGTGTATTATATTTATTATTATATATTTATATACATATGTATGGATATAATGTATGAGATGTTATTGCGTCAGTCATAAAGTCTTGCATTACCTTGTTGATCTTAAGAGTCAAGATTAAATCATTGGGTATTAAAAATATTATTAACACTTAAAATCAATAATATTTCATTATTTATTTTTCTGGTTTTATTAATTAGGAATCACGTGTGTCCAAGCAAGAATATTTAGGCAACAGCAAATTTTTAAAAATAAGAATACTTGATATTTTTTTTTAGATTTTTGACTAATTGCAGAAAATTGAACATATTGGTGAAATTTTGGTTAAGTTAAGCTAATTACTAAGTTTGTGATTAATTTATATTACATTCAAATTTTTTTGGGTCAAAAAAGTCGAAATTTTAATTATTTGAACTAGTATAATTTGTAAATATTGGTAAAAAAAAATGATTAAGTTTAAGATTAGGCGCGCAGTAGTCTATAGAATCCAGCCCTTGCTTACTAAAGCACACGGAAAAAAATAAATAGTAAATGCAACATGATGCAATCTTGGTAAATGAACATGATGAAATCATGTTGCTGCTACATGATTTTCCCATGCTACCACAACATGATTGCCATATAGTCGAAACATGACAAATCATGTAGTCGAAACATGACAAATCATGTTGTTGCAACATGACAAATCATGTTGTTGCAACATGACAAATCATGTTGTTGCAACATGACAAATCATGTTGTTGCAACATGACAAATCATGTTGTTGCAACATGACAAATCATGTTGTTGCAACATGACAAATCATGTTGTTGCAACATGATAAATCATGTTGCTGCTACATGATTTCCATGTAGTCGAAACATGACAAATCATGTTGCGGCAACATGATTTTATCATGTTTATTTACCAAAACTGCATCATGTTGCATTTACTATTTATTTTTTTCCGTGCATTGGATCGGGTTCGAGCCCGGCGTACACCAATGAATATTTTCAATATTTAATTAAATACACTCAAGTGTATTATTCTGCTCAGCCCAAAAAAATAAAACGAGTTCAACCTCAAAAAGTTTACCCCCTCCCGTAGTCGCTCATGACCTTTATAGTTTATGCAACTTAAAAAAAAAAAAAAAAGTTTAAGATTTATTTGATATTCTATACTCAGTAAAAATTATCATCATTATTATGAAAAAGTTTGAATCAATTACTTTCAAATTTAGTCTAAAATGTCGAAAGTTTCTACTTTTTAACATTTTTGAACTTCTGAAATTTTTTTGGGTCAAAAAAGTCGAAATTTTCATTATTTGAACTAGTACAAATTATGAATATTGATAAAAAGAATGTTGATATTTAAGATTCTTTGATAATCAATAGAATCAATAAAAATCATTATAATTGTACTAAAGTTCAAATTGATTGCTATCAAATTGTTTGGGTAAAAATAATCGAAAATTTTTGGATTTTTGTAGATTTCTCATCAAATTAGATTTGTCTATTCTTCGAACCGCTAAAAATTCTGAATATTCTTGAAACAAATTCAAACTTGAAATTCTTTATTAGGACTCTTAAATCAACATAAATTTTCAAGAATAGTTCTAAGTTGTTGAATTCACTTCAAAAGTCTTCAAGGACCAAATTATTTTATTATTTGTCCTTGATTTGGACCACTTTTCACAACAGGTCCAAATGATTTGAAAACAACTGCAGTCAATCTTACAAACAATTGAGCCAAAGATTTGTATTCCCACAACGGCTTAACTATTATTAATAAACAAAAAAAGAAAAAGAGAGATAGCAAGTTGGTTGTCTTTATCTTACTTCAGAAGATCAACGGCAAGGCAAAGTCTGACATATTGACGTTTTTTTTGGGCGCCGAATCTTATTCAAGGCTAGAATACCCACAAATTACTTCACTACATCTTTTATTCATTCAATCGCAGTTTAATAATAATTACCGCAATGGTTTAGACAGAAATATAATTTAAAAGCATGTTATATGCCAAATTTCTGGAAAATTACTAGTAAGGTATAAAAATGATATAAGACACATAAATAATGCTGGTAGAATATATATTTATTATAGAATAAAATATTTAATAATATTAGCGACTTTCAGCATAGCTAATTGATCTTTCCAGTGTGCTTGAACCCAACAATTACAATTTGCATGTACGTAAGACAGTTTCTCTTCTCACTTAACACTATACTCTCCACGGTCTTTCTTCATCATCACCTACCACACTCACTAATATAAGTATACAATATTTTACCTGCACTTTACAACTATAAAACATATCACAAGTATTATTATCGAAGGTGTTTTATATTAATAGACAACTATTATTTATTCTTCGTTTTATAACTTTCAAACTATATACAATCCACTCTTATAATTTAGATGAAAAATATGAAAATATATCATGTAAGAGCAAACTATTCGTAACGTGATTGGTCAAATATATATCATCAGCATGAAAATATAGATACCATACCAACATTCACACGCGCGCTTGCGCGCGCAACGTATACTAGTACATACATAGATTTTTTCTTGGACTTTGGTGTATTCTCTCATTTTATTAATGTCATCAAAAATTAAACGCAATCATGAATACTTATTGAGATAAAATGGATATGATAATTCTTAAAATTTATCAAAAATAATGATAGTGTTAAAATATTCAAAAATTAAATTTAAAATAATTTATAATTATTTATTCATTGCTTGAATGTTGATTACTACAGACAAAAGTTAAAATTTGTGAATAAAAGCCTCGAAGTTATCAATAAAATCCATTTAGCTTAATTTTTTTTGCATACCAAATTCAGCAAATAATAAATAATTGATAAACTATGACCATAAGTTTGTAAATAAAATTAGTGAAGATTGTATGATAAATATGTCAGATATATCACGATTAAATTTTAATAGACACCACACACAGACTTTTACGTAGTAGCGACAGTCGTTTTATCATTATTATTATTATTACACAGAGCGACAAGTTAATACAGGCGTTTTATGTATTATATATACACTTGTTACAATGGGAAATAATTGACGAATTCCCACGAAAATAAAATTACAACTTGTTTCGTTAATTATCGCGTTGTATCAGTTTTTTTTTTTGTATTTACACTAGGTTTTTTTCTAATGAATATAATAATGATAGAATAATTATTGATAGTTTTAATTAATAGTAGTTTTCATCAAATATTATTTCAAAATTTTTATGAGAAATAAAAATAAAAAAATTAAATCCCTTACAGATGGGGTGAGTTTCTCATCAGGCTATTATTTTTTAGTTCAAATAAAATTTTAATAATTAGCAAATAATACAATCTATAAAAAAAATGAGAATCATACACTGATAGGAAAATTTTGACGATTTAAGATAATTATTTTTGAAGCTCTATCAAACTAGATAATTATTTTTTGACATAGAAAGAAACAGAAATCCGAGAATTTTCAGTTTTACGAGCATTTTTTAAACAAGCCGGCAATAATATCTGATACCAACGTTATCGCGTAACTTAATCAAAAAAAAAAAATATTTGAACAAAGTATATTTTGTTCGGAAACAGTAAATTACTTCGTTTAGAGTAAAATTTTTTTCCGAACTTTCTGCTCATTCAAGAGTTTTAATTTACTGTTTTGCGGGTTAATTCCTCGAATTACGAAAATTGATTCTGTACAATGAGAAAAAAAAGTACTACTCTTGAGAAAATTTTCTTGTCACAAGAATTGATCGAAGGATTTTTTGTTTAATTCAAGTGAACTTATTCGTTTGTTAATCTATCAAAATTAATGCCAACATTTTATTATCATAATAGATATTGATATTCATTTGTCAAAAAACCAAAATTAATTTTAAACGATTCTTGAGCCAAGAAATTTTTTTCTGGACAAAATTTTTTTTTTCTCAGTGTGTATGAAATGATAAAGAAAATAATTTTCTTAAAAGTACTTTTTTCCGTATGATAAACCTAATCATGATCTGCCCCGATTTGACATCTATTCAGAATAACTCTTTGAAATCAAAAAAATAAATCTGAGCACTTTCTTCTCAACTCCCCTGGACTCTTCTCACAATTAATCCACCTTATAGAGAAGTAGCATTGGTAATCATAATCATAAAAGAAGTGCTGGTAGAAAGGCAAGGCATCACTTAAATCCAAAACTACCTCACTTGCACACTAATAAACCTAGCGTAGACGAGGACTAATTTCTTGAGGCGATCAAGTGTCTTGTGATCATTGGTGATGTTTAAACCGGCGCCTTGGGCAACCCTCTTACCCTTTGCTTCTTCTTTTTTTTCTTCTTCTTCTACCTCAACTTATACCTGTATACGTATATACATACACATATAAACATGTCTCACACTCCTAATCATCACGAGTGGTATTTCTCGTCACCGTCCTATCCTATCCCACCGGCAGCAGTTTCCTCAACATATAACTAAGCAGCCTGCCAGTACACCACACATATAGAGTAAAGTTCCGCGTATTGCGCAATACACAGGCAACTCGGTGGATATAGAGGTCCAAGAGCAGCAAGACATGTATATATATTATATATATAAGACATGTTGCTCATGGCC